CCGCACGCCCAATAAATTGTGTCACCAGCAGCGACATCAACACCAAAGTATCTCGAAGTGCAACAAACGTGCGCACGCAAGTGACCAATCGAAACCAAAAAATCGAAAACCCCAATCAAAGCCACAACCAAAGTCTAGATATTGTAAATACAGTCGCCGCTGCTGCCATCAACGACACAAGCGCCGTTACAGCCGTCAAAATGCGTGAAGTGAACGGTCAGTTGCGCGGTCTGCTCAAAAAACCGAATCGTCCGCCGCCGGCGCGTAAAAATCGTGTCGTCTTCGATGAGACACGCAACGAATTCTTCGAGGCGGATTATATTATTTTGATACGTGAGGATTGCGCCTACGATGAGGAGGACGAGGAGCCGTGCACGTGCGGCGAACACGAATTGGTGCGTTTGTGCTGTGAGGAGGGCTGCCAATGTAATTACTCCGCTACGGTGGCTGCGGGCGTTGGAGGCGGGGGAGGTGGTGTTGGTGGGCCCGGCGATGAAACACGCACACCGCAGGTAAGTCGGGACGGCAATGAATTTACTTGTATCATTTATGTGTTATATTGTGTACTTACTTACTATGTTTGTATATACATACATAGAAGGGGCACGTCTGATGCGCACGATACACTTTGATTTAAATGAGCGTAATTGCTATCAACGTTTTTCAAATTATAAACACTAATGTCGTTTTCGTTGTTGTTGTTGCTTCTGTTAATGTTGTCGCTGTTGTTCAGCAACTGATTTGCATTTTGTTCAATCGCACAATTCACACAATCACAAATCGAATTTGTTTCAGCGGTCTCACTATTCGCGTACACGTCTGTGTCAATACCGATTGACGACACTTCATCGAATAATTCGTCGTAACATTCGAAGGCGTCTGAATTCGGAAACGCGCTAACACCACCGTTCAGCGGCGTTAGAGCAACGTAGTTACCTTGGCCGTCACAGCCACCGCCGCCGATACGATTGAATTCACACTTCTTTGTGTCGCGTACGAGATTTTGATTTGTGTCCACACCGACAACGGACAATGGTACACAGTGATTTGTTGCTGTTGGTGTTGATTTTGTTGTTGTTGTTACGTTTCCGCCACCGATGATATCACTCAATCGACGCGCATCAAATTCGTATAGCGAATTGCCCGCAAGCGGATAAAAGGCGTACTCGTATATGGGCTGATAGATGGCGGGGGGTACGTAGGGACTCAAATGGTTGTAGACACAACAGTTTTTGTTAATGACGTGATTGCAGTACAAAAACGGTGCGGTTGCCGCTGGAAAATGTTGTTCACTTGAGGGTTTTGTGGCAACAAAAGCGCTTAACCGACCAAAATTCAAAGCCGCTTTGGGCGGTGGCGGACGTGGTGGTGGCGATGGTGAAGATGGCGATGGCGATGGCAATGGCGATGGCGCTTCTAAATGCGCTTCCGGCTGCGAGTTCAAAAGTTGGCACTGTTCCTGTGCAAATGTTGCGGTTTTCGTTGGATTCAAAAGGCGATTACTGACTATTGAGTTAGCAAAACTTTCTACAGTTGTTGTTGTTATTGTTGTAGCCGTTGAATTCTCTGTTGCGTTGGTCAGTGCAAGTTCGCGTGACTCTGCGTTGTGGGTTGGCGACGCTGACGTCGCGTCTGTTATGCCACCACCACTTTGTTTATGTCGCGTTGGCTGTTCAAGTATTTCCACGCGATTTTTGTTATTGTTTATTCGCGCCTCAGTGGTTGCTGTTGTTGTTGTAGCGTTTTGTATACTGCTGGCATTCACAGTCGCATTGGAATTTGCTGTTTGCTTTGGGGTGGCTGTTGCTCCTCTCGTCGCCGCGCTCTTCTGCTCGTCCTCCGCTTGCTTTTCTTCCTCTTCTGGTGGTTTATCTTCTTGACTAACTGTAGTTATTCCTACCTCAGTTGGGGTTGTACTGTGTACCGTTAGTTTACCACAATCACTAGTCGCTATCAGCGAGTCAAGTGCCTCCGCTCGTTGCTTTTCGCGGCGCTCTGTTGTACTGTCGCCAGCTGCTGTTGCTCGNAGTTATTCCTACCTCAGTTGGGGTTGTACTGTGTACCGTTAGTTTACCACTATCACTAGTCGCTAGCAGCGAGTCAAGTGCCTCCGCTCGTTGCTTTTCGCAGCATTCAATTGAGCGGCGCTCTGTTGTTCTCTCGCCAACTGCTGTTGCTCTTGCTTCCGCTAGGCGCTCGTTATTTTCACTCTGTTCGTTGATTAATTCCTGCGCTGTGGCTGCTGCGCACTCGCTGCTCGGTTGTCTAAAAGTGTTGTTGATTCTCTCGAAATTATTTTGTTGATTACAATTACTATTTTTATTTCGCCGATTATTGTTGTTGTCCGCTAGCTTAACGCTGCTGCTGTTGTAACGAGTTTCTGCTGTTAATTGGATTGCACTTGGCTTTTCAACGACCAGGTCGCCTTTGTTGTTTGTCGCAGCTGCTATTATCCACTGTGGCGACCTTACGCCACCACTGTTGCTGCAATTTCGTCTTTTGTCTGTTATTTGGCCAACCGCAAGTGTTGTTGTTATTATTTTTGCTGTTCTTGCTGCTGGTTTTGCTCTATCGAGCAACACAACAACAGTTTCTGCCTCTTGTTCTTCTTCCGTTAGGTCCACTAGACCTCCTCCGCCGGCGTTGTTTTTGTTGTCCTTTGGTATTTCAATTATCTGCTGCGTCGTCTGACTGTCAGCGCTTCGCCGCGCGTATGCGTCTCCCTCTGCCAAGCAACCTTTAGTACCAAGCTTACCTTCGAAGTGTTTGCTTTCACTGCTTTTCAAGGCTTCTTCGTACTTCGCTGCTTCGTCTGCCTGCCGTTTCGTATAGAAAAATTTGTCTGATGAACAAGCTACTTCGTCTCCGTTGCCGTCGCCCTCGTAGTAGTCTCTATCGCTTTTCTGTAATTTCTGCTGCGCTACCACCCCTGCGCTCACTTCATTAGCATGCACGTCGTCGTGGCCAAAGTTGCCGTTGTCATATTGGGGCTCGTGTTCGTCTTTCAAATGATTGCGTGTCACGCATACTAATCCACGAAAATGTTGTTGCAAACGTTGCAAGCGTTGACTAGCCGCAAATTCGTCTCTACCACCGACGACACCCTCTGCTAATGATGGTGCTGACACGTTAAGCGTTCCCTTGGGGGCTGCGTGTGCGACGTGCGCCGCGCTATAGTGGGTACACGCTTCGGCTAAGTGTTGCCTATTCAAAAGTAGTTTATCTGCCTCACTTAGGTTTGTATTGTCTAGCTGTTTCGGTTTTATATCAGCGCATTCCCTATATTTTTCGCATTCAACTAGCGAATCCAGCTGTTGTGACCCCTTTTGTGCTGCACTTTCTCGAGTGTGCTTCTGCGGTAATCGTCGTGCAGTTATAGTTTTTGCTACTTCTTCGTCAATAGTTTGCTGTTGCTGCTGTGTTGCAACTTGAACTAAATTGCCCCAATACAGCCCAAGCTCCAACCCCTGACGCAATTGTCGTTGGGTACTTTCACTTTGTGGTGCTTTAGCTAAGCTTGAAGTGCGTTGTGTGCTTGTCGCACTTACCTCTTTAAACACTTTTGCATTCTCGGCGTTGGCTTCTATGGCAACATTTGCCACTTGTTCGACCGCTTGATGTGTTGATGTGTTGTCGTTAGCGCCTCCTTTTGGCCACTTATCTCTTTGATTACTTGCACTTTCAGGTGCCTCGCAAGTGGTGTGGCTGCGCCGCCATCTATTAGCAACACCACCACTACCAAGAGCACTTGTACACTTAAAAAATGCTTCTTTCTGCGACTCCTCCTCTCCTCGCGTTCTGCAATTTTCGCTTACTTTTTCCTCTTTGCTTTCTCGTGCGTCGCTTTGCCTGCTTTCTTTTGTTTCTATCGCCGATTTATGCTTACGCTGCAGGTCGTGCCGCGTCGCTACTTCGTTCCCAGTTGGGCTGGCTCTGTCTATGACCGCAGCAGGGTTGGTCGCGTAGGCAGTCTTGTTTTCATTAATAACTTCACAATCAGGGCTGCAATTTTGCGCTACTTCTGGCCCCTCTCTACAATGGCTCGCTGCTGTTGCTTTTTCGTGTGAAACCTCTTGCCAGCAATTCGCTTGCTGCTCGCACTTTTCTTCAACGCACTTCCACTCTTCTCTCTCCTGCTCGCTTAGGAGCGGTGGCCTCGCTAAGGCTTCGTCTGTTGTACTGTGTCGCCCCCGCGTGGATTTTTCATCAATCACTTTAGTTACTAATTCGTTGTCGTTGCTGTATTCAACGAGCGCAACATTGACGGCCGTGTAATCGGGCTTTAGCTGTGACTGCTGCTGCTGCTGCTGCTGCGGCTGTGGCTGCTGTTCAATGATAGAATTGAATTGCTGTTGCGAATTATGTATTCGTTGCGCTCGTTGCGTATTCGTTGAATTGAAATATGCGCCTACCACCCAGCTGCTGCAGCTCTCCGCTGCTGGCGACTGGTCCTGCCTCGGCTGCCTTTGATGTGTGTGGGGGATGAGTCGTTTACCACAAATTTGCTGAGCAGGCTTATTTGTGCAAATCACGTCGCATTGATGCGGGCATTTTTCATACTCAGCTACACTTACTTCTTCGTTTCCTTTTTCTACTTCTTTTCCTTTATGATTTTTCGCTTCTTTCGTTTTTATTTCACCTATCTCTTTGGCGTTTCCTATACTTTCTGCTTTCAGCTGTTCTTTTTCTATTTGTTGCTGTGCCTCGTTCGTCGCCACGAGTGTAGACAATTCGCATGAAAAGTGGCCCTTATGGAGCTTTTCAGCCTCCGCCTGCCTGTCTGTGACGAAGTAGCGCCCTCCGTCGTCGTCGTTTCCAGCTGTATCTGTTTTTTGTTCGATAGGCTCTTGAAAGCCTTTTTCCTTTTCTTCAACTTTTTCAATTGTATTCAATCTAAGTTCGCATTCATTCGCTTGCCCCTGACACCACTTTCGACTTCGACTTTCACCAACTTTACTTTCTTCTACTGTTTCAATGTTTTCATGAATGGCCTTTATGGTATCGACACTGGCACTGGCGTTGGTGCTGGTACTTCTACTGGTACCGTCATCAAGGCGCACAGCAGCGTTTCCAACGACACCGTCGCCGTCGCCACCACCCCCTCTATTGACCTCACTGTCGTCTTCCCAGCCAGCCAACAAATTTGCTGCTTCACAGATACACCACTCACCATTCAGGGCCTTAAAATTATATAAATAGCAGTTATCAGCATTGGCTTCGTGCCGAATTTCACTACACAATAAATTTTCACAATCACTTGCAGTGCCGTTATCCACTAAAACACACACTTGGCTTGCTGCTTTGGTATTTTTCAGAGTTTTCCAATTTTTTCTATAGTTTGAAAAAAATTTCGTCTCAGCTGCTCCAGCTGCTGCTGCTGCTCCAGCCACACGTCGTACTCGTATGTCGTTGTCCTCGTCGTGTTGGTCGCCGCTGGCTCGACTGGCTGCTGTTCTATGTGCTTTCACATTCACCACGCTGCCATCGCAGCTCCTTTCACTGCTACTGCTGCTATACTTTCTGATGACGATGGGGCTTTCGCCAGCTGCTGGTTGTTGCTGTTGTAAGGACTTTGTTGTGTCACCCTTTGCCGATGTCACGTCCTCAGCCTGTTGGCATGTCGCGCTGATGTGTTGTGTTGTGGGGAAAATGGCGTTCGTAGTGGCATAGTCCTTCGTGTGCGTAAACGCTACTCGTTGTGGTGAATTGTTTTCGATCGATGACGAAGTTGATTTCGTCACGTCCCTCACGCTTGCGGTTCTCGCATTCAAGTCGGTGACTCTTTGCTGTATGCAGCCGCTGGCATACTGGTCGTCGTCAAAGCTTAACTGCCATGGGTTGCCTGTATTCTGGTCAGTGGCATGGCACAGTGTATTTGTTTTTGTTGTTGTTGTTGTTGTTGCTGTTGTGACAAGAGCACAAGTCGCACTCGTCACAGTGATTGTTGCTGCCTCCGTCGCCGCCGACGCCGCCATCATCGTCGTTGTTCTCGATGGTTTCGCGTCCAAAGCGCATGCGCCTGCTCTCCCACCTGTGCACAGCAATGGCATGCCAGCTTTGCTCTCTATGCCACCACCGTGCAGCACCAATGGCAGCCACCCAAATGTTGTGTCCGCTGTTGTTGTCACTGTACTCGTTGCCATTTCCGCTAAGCTAAACTGGCCTGTCAATGCAAAACTATTCACTGTTTCTGTTGCTGCTGCTGCTTCGCCAGTTATTATTGCTGTCCCGTTGCTCATACTCTCTTTTGTTTTTGTTAATCCCACTTCGTCACTTGGCCGTTGTATTCCGTAAACGTCCCCTAGGCGCAACAAAATTTCAGCCTCAACGCATTCCTCCCCGCCGCTGCATTCGATGGGTTCAAATGCCGCTGCTGTTGGTGCTTCCACTTCTATCTCTGCCAGCGGTGTGCACTGAAGCGTTTCGTTTTCATTTTCGCTGCCAACAATCGGCCAAAAGTGGTTGCTATCATCAGCGGCACTACTCCTGCTGGCACCGCAAGCATTTCCGTTGTAGCTCCCATTTCTGTTGCCTGTACGACTGCATGTTTTGTTGTTGTCGCTTAGACTTTTATTATTATTATCAACAAAGCAAAGCATTACGTCGCTTACCGTCGCTTCGACGCTTGGTTGGTTTGCACTTTTGTTGTTGCTTATTGGTTGTTGTTTGTTGGCTGTTGTCAGTAAGTTGCCAACAATTAGTTGCTGCTTTTGTTGTAATTCGTTTGCGGTTTGCGCACTTTGTTTGCCTTCGGTTGTCATTTTGTCAATGGCTATTGTTGTAGCTGCCGCCGCAGCCACTTCCACACCCTCGGTCGCCGTTGCGTCGTGACTTTCTGATCGTTGTGAATTGGCTGTGGAGAAGATCAGGAAGTCAAGAAACATCGTGTTTGTTGTTGGTACATTTCACAATGTGTCACCAAGATGAGTGCTCGGATACTCAGTCATCTTTTAAAAACTGCAAATACAAATCAGAAAATACTCAAATTAGAATCAGGCTAGTAGTACGTAGATATGTATGTATCGAAATTTTTATGTTATACATAGGTATAGAGTGGTCAGCAACTTTTTCTGGAAAAAGCAGGGCAGATACACAAAAACCGTTTCGCCATCGCATTCTCTACAAGGCAGAAAAGGCGAGTGGGGTTGTCAGTCATGCCGATAGCAGTCAAGTTTTCCCACAAATTTCCTGCGATCCAATTTACCCCATGAAAGCAAATACCTAGCAAGACCTTTTGAAATTGTAGGGAAACTGAGTTTTGCATATTCGTTCCCCTGGATGTCTCCCAGTCATTGCTGAGCGAAATATATATATATTTCTGACCATGGTTTCGATGGCTGACTGCTTGAAGATGTTCTTAAGTACTCCCGTGTACACTGGCCCTTAGACTGATACCTATTTACCAACATACTTTAATCGAGGCTTCTATTGCCGAACTATTTAGTTTGAGTGCAAATTGAATGTGACAGCAAACACGTTACTTCTTCCTCCGGAAAAGTATGACCTGCTTCATACTAAAAGGCTTGGAGTGCGCAGTCAAAATACACAGCCGAATAAGAGTTTTTGGTATACAGCTCGCTTAGAACTCATTAGCGCTGCAAGACTCTGTAGCAAAGATCCAAATGGGGCTGGTAGCAATGAGTGCACAACGGGAACCTTTGCTGATGCTGAGGAGGTATTCGACAAATGGTTATCTAAAGGTAGCTCTAAAGGGCTCTAACACCGCCACCAGATTTGAACTTTAGTCGTTTAATATGTTGAGGAATTTTATGAGTCCCTGTTGCGAAATTTGCATCAGGCTGACTTCGCTAGGCGCGTAGTCGTTCACAAGTTTGACTCTATGGTGAGCTAGTGTTGGAGGAGAGGTGGTAATAAGATGTTCCATTGACTCCTCTTCGCCACAGGATCTGACTATGTTGCAAATGCCAAGCATAAGATTAATGCACTCTATAACATGTTTGACTACTGGGGAGGAAGATGCCCTTTGTCCGATGATAAAGGTTGGAAGAGGATGATCACATAGCGGTATACCTCTCTTACGGAGTAAAGGACTACCTATTAACAGCAATGCAATACGTACTTCGATCACATATAAGCTTCCGAGCCAGAAAAATCTGTCATTGAGGTCTGTGAAAAGATCTCAACCTTGGTGCTTAGTGACCTAAACCGAGATCACGCCGAACGTAAAATATCTAAAGTTAACTATATAAAAAGGGGAAATAGAAAACTCACGTCGAGCTGAGGGTAAATAGAGAACTCAAAGTTTTCGAACAGCCGTCGAGGTTTTAATAAGACTTCGAATCTGAGGCCAGCTGCGGTGCTGTGCAGCTTTAGTCAGACACTAATTATAGTATATGTATGTTAAATGGATTGGCTAGCAGTATAACGTCATTTGCCGCCCCTAGAGGTAACACCTTTCCTTAAAAAAAAAAATAATTATAGAAATCGGGTACGTGGTAGAATGTTATACGGTAACATACATAAAAAAAAAAAATTAAAAATTATGAAAAAAAAAATATTCCGACGAACTGATAACCTTCTCCTTTTTGGTAAAATGGGTAAAAAGCGTTTAGCTCAGTTCGTTTCTTCCTGTATGTTAATTTGGGGGCCTTACGCCTTCTTTAACCGCATCCACCAAATGAACGAATGAATATTTTTGTCAAATTATGTACCAAAAAATCCCTTACAACGGTAGATTTTTTTAACGGAAATTATTCTTGTTTTCTTAAATTAAACACTTCTATTTTTTTCTTAGGAAAACAAAAATATTGGGCCTCATGCATAAAAAGTGAGCTTGAGCTCAGACTCAATTTTTGCACTGATGGGTTGAGCTCAAGCTCAAGAATTTGTACTGAAAATCGAGTCGGAGCATGAGGCCCAATACCTCAAAATATTATGACCGGTTTAAATATTTAAATGGTAGAAAAAAAACTGAAAGTAGCGGAAATTTATGTAGTCAGTTATGAGACAAATCCAATTTTCGACTATTTTTTCAAAATTTTAATTACTCATTTTTAAAGTTAATATTACTTTTTCTGTTGTTGTTGAAGGGGCTACTCAACCCTGCCTACATCTATCGGCTTGTCCCGCAATCGTTGTTGTCAAGCTCGACTAACGGAAGACTCCGGAAGCGTGCAACTTCTACTGGGCTTGTCCATAGGGAGAGGTGTTATGTTAGCTGAGTAAGGTTTAGGGGACATCTCGAGTCGTGGGGTATCTCTCGGCATGCCGGTCACTCGTTGGGCACATCAGCATTTAATCTGCTCAGGTATGAGTTTAGCCTGCTGCAGTAGACATAGCGAAGTTCGGCTATTGTGTTGCGAGTCTCCCGAAGCAGACTAAGCTCTCCCTTTCCTTGTTAGTTACCAGCAGACGTTCTTTTTCTTTGCCGCCTAGTGACTTGAGGACCTTGTTGCGGCTCTGTACTCTATTGACAATTGTGGTTGTATGCGCCGAGAAGGAGAGCAGACCATCGATGGTAACTCCGAGAATTTTTGTGTTATTTACCGTCGGAATTTGTACGCCATCGATGTGAGCTCCCAGCTGCAGTCTGACCTCCTTCGTCCAGGTGGTAGGAAGAGTTGCTGAGGATTTTGTAGGCGAGAGGGTTAGGCTCCTTGCTTTACTTTCGCAGGACACAATTTCTTCAGCATCAGCATGCATATTGCGTCGGGTCTTATGGCTTTGGATGCTTTCGCCTGCCCGATGGCTACCTAAACCTCACCGCTGATAAAAGGGTCGGGTTGGATGTCGGGTTTAATTGAAGGTTGGGCACATCACTCAATTGTGGCAAGCGATACTATGAATACATTTAAGAATCGAAATTTTCTGAATGAGTTTGGTTTTATATTTATTTTGCTTTACACGATTGCTAACATTGGACCGCATAAATAAAAACTAAGCTATTGATTTAAAATTTCAGACCTTTTGCTTCAATTTATATAAATAAATCGTGTAAACGGTCTAATAGTTTTATATAAAGCAATTGCTTATTTTTTATTCATGCGGCGCATTGACCTTTTTCATTTTTGAAGCAGTCCCTTATTAGAGACGACGTTCACTTCCTATTTTCTTTAAATTTTTTAACCCATTAGATACTTCCGTGTAACTCCCTCCAACTGTGACACAGTAACGTCAAGGAATTAATTAATTTTATCGCCATCAGAGCGTGGGAACAAATAAAAACTTGAACACTTTTTGTACAATTTTCTTATCTTAAAATGAATTACCTTCTTATTGCTTCAATTGTAGTTGTGTGTAGTTATTTGCTTCTTGGCATTCAAATATTTCTCGCTTGAAAGGAGTTTTCAATTATTTATTTGCTGCCCTTCGGTTGCTTGTGACAGGTGTGCAGGCACCTTGCAACGCCACACACATCCTTAAAGGACACTGGCCAACAGCAGTTGGCGGTACACTTTTCCCACATAAATTTTGTATAAGTATGTACATATACATACATAAATTCTTATGCAAATTTGAACCACCAAAAAGTAGACGAACTTCCCGCACACATTATTACACACACACAAACACGCGCAGGTAAAAAAAAATATATATCACGTCACGCTCCAGAGGCGATCGCGCCTTTGCATAACTAGGTATGAGCGAGGGTTTTTGACCGCCTCGGTAGGATAAGCGAACACAACAAAAGGCACAAAAACAAAACATTAATGACACAATAAAACGTAATAAACAGGTCGTAACCACCAAAAGGTTAAAACTCAGCTCGGGCGGTGGTAGTTTTTGTGTAAATTTTATTTTTATTTTGGGTTCGTAATCGCTTTGTTATTAAGTATGTACCATGTACAAATGTATGTATGTAAGTTTGTATGGCGGTAAATGTAAGAAATACATACATATGTATGTAATTTAATTCGCAGACCGAGTTCCGTCACTAAAGAAAAATGCGTCCGTTCTCAAAGGTTTTCGGAAGTAAACTGAGTAGCTGGCTCAGAAAGCAAACCCTGACAACCCAACAACGACGCATGGAGTTTTCGAATGGGCTGAGAAAATAATAAGTAAATGAGGGGCATGTAAGTAGGCATACATACATATGTACTTAGCCACCAGTTTTAATTTCCATCGCATAAATATTTAGTAGCAAAGAAGAGCATACGCTGCCTTTCGCTTGCATGATCGTATTAGTACACACGCATGCGCAAAAGCGCAGCACAAGGCAGACGAACTTAGGTTGAGTAGTTAACCGTGTTTAAGTTGTATGTAAGCGCGCTTACAACCAAGCTGTGGGAGTTTTTAATGGAATCTGCATACGTATTAGTGTGTTGAAGTAACAATTTAGAGGTAAGAGTAAGCAAGCGTCTTCTTGCCAGCAAGTGATTTGGTGCTCATACATACATACATATAAGGCAGTCAAAACTTGTGTTTTTTTTTCAAACGTATACGTATATATGTACATATGTATGTAGTGTTTAGCTGAGCTGAGGAAACACACACCTTGGCAACTTGGCGTTGAAGACATTTCTAACGCCGTTACCATCACCATTATCATTACCATCGTCATATCCACCGGCACTGCTGTGACCATTGTTCATCTCGGCGGTTCTCATCTTTGGGAAATTTTTTTTAGATGCTTTAAGTTAGTCGGCATTTTCAGCCAAATCTTGGCATAGCTGGCAGCAGACGCTTTTAAAAAGCAATCTTGTTCCGTAAACGTAATTAGTAGTAACGGTATACACACATACATATATATGTACATAGTTTACATAGTGTTATGCTCTAAAGTACATAGGAAGTAAATGATCTCTCACTTAAGTGTGTGACCGGGTATCGTTTGACAAAATCGCTGCACTGCCACTCACAGAAGAAAAACTTTTTCGTCTGAACATTGTAAAATAAACAATGTGAAATTTTTGGCAATCGCTCTAAACGAGGATCGAACCCCGCGATTTTTGGGTCTCGCCGCGACATTACAACGATGAACGGGGCAAGGCAAGAAACACCTGAGACATTGTGACGTCTACTACAGCTGTCACGAAAACGAGTGCAAATTCGGTGTTGGATTTGTGGTGGGAGAGACCCTCCGTCGCCGTCCAACCCGTTGGACAAACGTCTAGCCACAGTCCCGTAAAAGCCAGATTTTTCAACATCTCATTCATGACGACTGGAGTTTAAGTGTGCTCCGTACAGTCCTTAAGGAAAGACTACCCCGCCATACGCGCCAACTACCGCGAGATCAGCCTTCTAAGCATAGGTTACAAGGTCTTATCGCACATATTGTGTGAAATACTAAAGGCCAGCGTCAACGAACTGATCGGGCCTTCTTAGTATGGCTTTAGACATTTGTAGCAAAGTCACCATAAAACAGGTATTCACAATACGCCAAATCTGAAAAAGACTTGCGAGAATAAGATCGATACCCACCATCTATTTGTCGATTTCAAAGCCATTTTGACAGCACGAAAAGAAGTTGTCTTTATGCCGCGATCTCTGAATATTGTATCCCCTCACAACTAATATGGCTATTTAAAATATCACCAGCTTCGTCAGAATTGGGAAAGACTACCCCGAGCTGTTTAATACTAAACGCGGTTTCAGGCCGGACAACTCGCTTTCGTGGATTTTTTTATCTGATTTTTGAGAAGATTATAAGAGCCGCAGACTTTACAAGAGCATACAATTTCTGGCATATGCCGACGACATCGATATTATCGGTAACAACAAGGGCTAGGCTGTTCTGCGGAATGAAGATAACGATAAAGGTTATGGAAAGGATAAAAGCGCAGTTAGTCGACGACGTAGCGTAAACGTTGGTTGACGTACGTAGCAGAATATCATATTTACTGTTGATAGAGAGAGAAAGAAGCAACGGCAACGTCACCGCCATGCGGTGGTGAGTTTTCGTTAACACGCGAATCCCATAAGGTAGATCATTTCTGCGTCAACCTACGTCTACGCTACGTTATTGACTGTTTGCTCTTTAAAGCTCAAAATTAAAAGGAAGACATAAAGATAAAAACCCATATACAAATAGAGAGAAAGTGATAGAGATAAAGAAGCAGATGAAACTGAAGAATGAGATATGTTATGTTATGCTTTGTTATGTTAGGTTGTGATATTTTATGTTATGCTAAGTGATAAGTTTAACTCCCGTACACTCAACTCACCCCAACTTATGCTTTGTTATTTTATGTTATGTTGTGCTATGTTATGTTACGTTGTGTTATTTTATGTTAAGCTAAGTGTTAAGTTCAACTCCCCTACACTCAACTCAATCCTCCTGATGTTAGTTCACATCAATTCAGCTTACCTCAACTCATCTAAACTCACCTTAATTCACCTTAACTTATCTAAACTCACCTCAGTTCGGTTCACTTCATCTTAACGCAATTAAACTCAGCCCCACTCAATTCCCCTTAATTTTTGTGGCTCAATTTCAACCGCTGGACGAACACTGTTACACTTAGGCCCGATTTCAGATGGCCTAAGGTTGTTTTATTATGCTTGCCAAACAACAATCAGCTGTTCAGCACGAAATGTAAACAAACTAACAAATGCAACAGCAATTTCAAAGAACAAGCAACAGTGTTGCCAATTGTCATTGTCAATTGGCATATTTGAATAATGTTGATCTGAAACCCAACGAAAGCTAAATGGCATTTAAAAAACAATTCAAATTAAACCGTGCCGTTTAAATATTCATCTGAAATTGGCCCTTAATTTCTAAATGAAGTACTCAAGTGTACATACATACATACATATGTATGTAAGCACAAATATTATATTTAAATTCATAAAAAAATAGACAACAACAATTGTTGCTAGCGACTAAAACAATGTGACAACAAAACCTTCACCACAACAACAGAAAACAAAACAAAACAACCTTTATCCAAAACCGGCAGCAAAACAATAAACACAAAATTGTACAACATCATTTGATATGTAATCGCAGTTAGTTGGAAATGTTTAAGTGTCCCCTAGCAACATTAGCACATTCAAACGCACACATACATATTTATGCACATACAAATAGAAGTAAATATTAGTGTACATATGTATTTGATTGCGCGCCGCACACTGGGGCAGGGGACCTTCATAACTGCCAAGAAATAAACTAAAGCTTTTAAATCTTCTAAAGTGTAACGAATAATTTTCGAGACATTCTACTATTAGAAAAAAACTATTTTGATGAAGAAATTTAATTTGTCTAATAAAAAACCATCGACAATACTTTGTGTGTAAAAAAAAATACACAACTCTGTCAAACAAAAAAAAATCAGCAGTAAGTCCTAGCTACTTCAAACTTACATTTTAATAAAAATAAAGGGGCTGAAAAAGTGCATACTCAGAATCTTGATTTTTTATGAAATTTTGTTAAATGTTTAATATATTGCACAAATAATTTGCTAAAACTTGTCAACATGTGGTATGTTATAACAGTTTATTATTGATGATATGTCAAAACATTATCTCTTCATCATTATCATCGTCGTCAACTGTTGCGCTGTCATCTGAATTGTTGAGTGTATAGTGTTTATTTAAATAGTTCTGTTTTGAGCGGCTTCTCATTACTGATATCCCTAATAGATTTTTCTCTGCTACATTTTCTCGTATTATGCCCTCTATATCGCTTGAAGCCCTTGTTCTTGCTTCCTTTGATTTTTCTGTTAATTGTCCGATAGGAAGAGGTGCAAACGATATTATTTCTGGTCCATGACTGAAATATTTCTGCAGAGTAGGTGACGGTCTTTGGACTGTGCGTTTTATGGGTCATTTACTTAAATACTCTTAAACAGTATCTACTTTTGTTGGTATTCTAATTAGGCAATAAAGCGAAAGTATCATGAAATATTTTTTTTTTTTTGAATTTTCGGCAGTTTTTAAAGGCATCTGCCCCATTGTGCGCCGCCCGAAAGTAGTTTATGCTTTATCGTGCTATTTGTTGCGCATGCGCCACTGCTGTGAAGGGCCGCGTACCTTTGCGCTGGGGACGACAACAATAAAATGTGCTGTTGATGTGGACAAAAGTGAATGTGATACCCGCAGCAGTCCTATCCGCAATTGTAGATTTTTTTTATATAAATGTACCTATATGCCTCCATATGAATTTATACGGGTATTCATATGAATAATATGTAGTAAGATGTCTACTCTGGGGCACTTACGAACAATGTGGAGCAAGAAGCGAATCGCTTTTGTTTTCATTTTTAATTTGTAAATACAAGTACCCACATAGTCTTTAGCAGCAATATTTGCCTATGCAGATATGTACCTACAAACGTATGTATATGTGTATGTACATTGTGTGTTAACATTTATAGAGACCTCATGCTCGAGTTACATACATACATACATAAATGCTTCCTTTTATGTTATTAGCAAATGAGTTTACAAAAGCAGGTACATAAAAATGTC